AACGGGAAAGCAAATTCATGTGTCAAATCAATGTTCACTTGGTTACATATTTGACATAGCTAATTAGCTATTATCTCCTAACAAAAACAAATCCATTCAAAAGTCTTGCCTTGCCTAGGCACCATTTGGATCATCATCTAAGCCACGCCTCGACTCCAGCCAAGCCTTAGCCGCAACACTTGTCGTCTGAAACCAGCCGGGCCTATCCTGCACCTCGTGAAACGGGGCATCAAGCTCCTTCAAATGGGCCTCGAACAGGCCCATCAAAGCCCGATCCGAAAACTTGTGCTTCCCATGGCCCGTATCAATCCCTAACAAATTCGGCAACTCCTCCCCATTATCAACCGCTCTCCACAACTCATTCATCCACACACGCAGTCCCGTCAAGGCCGCCCCTTGAGACAGTCTCCTTAGCTGCAAATACCACATTTTATCTGATCTAATCGTTATATTATCATATATTCCTCGCTCGAGCCCGAATTTCATCATCTGAGTAGCTCTCTCGAGCCCACCCACATGAACACTTAAATCGATCAAGCAATTCAGGTAAGCTTTTCTCATTGCAACACTAACTGAGTCAAAAAGCTCATTGGCTTCTTCTTCTCCAATTAAGCTTTCTTCATCAATTACAAGATTCACAAAATGGCCGAGCTTCGGATTGGCCTTCTCGATGCAAACGGTCAACTGACCAAGTTCTTCCTTTGGCACTTCGGTCGAAACGCTAAGAAGGCAGCAAAGAAACTGCTCGTCGGGAGTTATCCCGAAATCAGACAACATATCGAATGTCTTCACTACATCACCCGTACGCTTGGCTTTCCCATAACATTGGATAATCGAGGTTAGTACAATAATGTTCGGCTCGAAACCCGAATTCATCATCTCATTCAGCGTGGCCTCAGCCTCCTCGACCTGCCCGCTGCACGAATATATCGTGATCAATGAAGAATAAGTCCATGAATCGGGATTGCAAGTGCCCGAATTCATCATATCATTAAAAACAGCCAAAGCCTCGTCGGTAAACCCCACGTCAGCACAAGTGGATAATATAGTATTGTATAACACAACATTAAGCTCAAAATTCTTCTCCTTCATCTCCTTATAAACAGCTAGTATGTCGTGGATATATCGGCCCCGACCATAGGCCCGTAGTAGAGCGGCGTATGTGGCCCAATTCGGATTAACTTCATTTCTCATCATTTCCCGGTAAATATTCTTGGCCTGCCAAGGCCTTTTGGCCCGGCCCATTGCTTCTAATAATGAGTTGTACACGCTTGCATTGGGCTTTACCCCTAAGGCCTTCATCTCCTCGTACAAATTCAAGCACCCGTCGAAATTCCCCCTCGAAATATAAATTCTTATCAAAGTTGAGAAAGACACAGCATCAAGACGCCATTTTTCGTTCCTGGCTCGATCATACAGAGCAAAAGCAACATCCTCTTTTCCCACTTTACCATACGAGTCGATCATGACCGAGCAAGTGACCCCATCAGGCTCGAGCCCAAATGCCGGCATCTTTTCGTACCACTCGACTGCCTTCTCGGGCAAGGAACACAGCCTGGCGCAGCCGATTAGAGTCGAGAAGGTGGTGTTATCTGGCTTAATCCCTCTCTCAAGCATTTCGTCGAACAGTTTCTGGGCACCGTCCAAATCCTTACTCTTTCTAAACACTTTCATGGTCACATTGTACAGAACAACCTTCCTAGGAGATTCTACCTTTCGCAAGAAGTACTCGAGCGCCATAAGGGAAGCTTTAGTGTTCGACATGTGGTTCACCACGACCACGGCGTCGTGTTCCGTTACTTTGTTGCCCAGAACACTCAACCGGCCCGAAACATCCTCACCGGTCTGGCCGCACGAATCTAAGGATCTGGCGAGTTTGGCTAAGGAGTCGTACCTGTAATTGTGGGTTGTCTGCAGCAGCTTCGAGGCCCGCGGGCTTTTCGGGTTGATCCAAGCGTTGGACTTCGGGCGAGGAGCTGATTTTCGATCCGGGCCCTGAGGTTCTTGGGTCTGGGCCTGGATTTCGGCCTCCTGTACGTAGATCTTGGAGGAGATGCGGAGGGAGGGCTTCTTGGAGTGGGGTTTGAAGGGGAAGATGAGGTTTTTGTGGATTCTGAGCTGGGAGAGGTTTGGAAGAGAGAGGGAGTTGCAGAAGAGGTGGGTTTCGCGGGCGAGGGAAGGAGATGACGGCGAGGCACTCAGATTGTACGCCATTTCTGTTTTCTGCCCTTGTGCTATGAGTGATTTTACTGTTATTGGGGAGAGATTGTGAGGGGTTGGTTTGCAAGGGTTCTAGGGAATTCCTTATCGGAAAAATGAAATGATTTGCACCCTTTTGCTCTCCTTTTTTTTCATTATATACTAAAACTTTTTTCTATGTCATACTAGCGTGTAGCCCGTGCGATGCACGGGTAAATAATATTAACTCATAATTATAATTATAATTAAGATGTAGAGTTAATATGTGACATATAATTTATCGTATATCAGTTGTAAACAATATTCAATTATCTTGTATAAAATAACACAAAAAATATATATTTAAAATATTAAAAACACCTAAAATATTATATAATATAACGTATGTAAAGTATCTAAAATTTTATATATTATTATTGAAAGATGTGATTCACCTAAAATTTTTCTAAACTATTTTATAAATAAAACATGTCTAAAATTATTTAAAAAAATCTTGTCTATAATATATTATTCAATTTCCAAAAGATGATGATAACTATAAGTTTGAATTTTAGAATCCACGTGAGTATTATTTTTTAGATTCGTGTACTATACAAATTATTCATTATGTTAATTTTCTGTGAACTTCATATTGATTTTATTTTATTTACATACAAAGCTGATCGTCTCATTTTGTTTTACCATATTTTTGTGGAGATTTAACAAAGTCGATTGTATTTATAAAATGATTTTGGAGATCAACATACAATTTATAATGAAGTTTTCAAAATTGTGTACTATTGACAAATAATATATTATCATTAATTTTTTATTTTCAATGCACAATTATTGAGACTGAGAATTTGAAAGTTATTTTACCTTTTGAAATCGAGTATAGAAAAAACAATAGATTGATAAACAAAGTATTGATAAACATTACAAAGTGATATTTTAAACACTACAAAGTATTCAGAAAAAATAATATATTATCACACGTTCCAAATGAAAAAAATTTGATGATTAGTGGAAAATGATATTTAAAGAATAGCATTCAATATTTTTTTTGAAAGGAATAAATATAAAGGCCGATATTCTAAAATTTTTATTATCTTTTGAATTGAGATTTTATAAATATACAAACTGAGATTTTAATATTCTTCGTTGTTTCTTAAAAAAAATAATAAAAATGAAAAATGCACACTTGATAGATCTTAGCTTAAATTTTTAAATAATAAACAAATTAAAGCCTAAAATTTAATGTAACATTTAATGTTGTATGATTTTTTTAAAAAAAAAAATAATAAAACTTACTATTTATAGGTTGCATTAAATTCTTTCCTATTTTTTTGCTACTATTTTTGTTAAATGGTAATTCTTATTATATATATATAGATTTATATATTAATAAACACAAGCATTTAAAACGTTATAAAATGACCATTGAATCAATCATCTATTAGCTGAATTTAGAGAGAGATCTACTCAAAAATAACTCCAAAATTAAAAAATACTAGCAAAACACATATTGAAATAAAAAATTACACTACTCCCACAGTCGTAAGATTGCAACCGCAACAATGGAGAATAGAAAACCACAAAAACAAACACAAACATATACAAAATACGTAATAATAATTAACATAGAATAAAACCTCTCTAGCTAGTGTAATCACCACCAAGGCCAAGCCAAAAGCAGCCAACAAATGCCTTCAAATAGACTACCGTCACAAACTCAATAGCAACCGCCAACATTCTTTGAGTCCATTAATCTTAAAGAAGAAGAAAGAATAACAGATCTGAAGTCAACAAACTTGAGAACTCCAGCTCACACGAACGGCTAGTTAAATCTGAAGAAAAAGTCCAAATCTGGCCATAAAGATGACATTAAAGGACAGACGACGAGTCGCATCACATAGGACGTTGATCTCGATCGATCACTGGAGGCAGGCGACACACCGGAGAAAAAAAGGAGTGGGGGAAAGGGGGAATCAAGCTCTCTATTTTTGTATACATAAATCTAAAAGGCATAGTTTTCATAATGTGTAACTTAATAAATTGTTCGACAGGAAAATGTGTTGAGTCACCTCGGTTGAGAAGGTTACGTAATACTTTTCTCTTAAACCCAAGTTCTCAAAACTAGACCGACCATCGAATTAGTCAAGTTACTAGTTCAATTGTTCACTGATCTGATTTTCTTTGAGACATAAGGTGGTTTTATGTCAAGAACAATAAATCTTTGGCCGATTCTGACGGGTTTTTTACTGGTTCACTGACAACCGATTCATTCCAGCGAAAACTAGTTCACTGACAACTGATTCATTCCAGCGAACTGAAGGACCCGCCAATTAAGTCGTTTTTTACAACAATGCTTAAACCTTTGGCACCCTCTTCTCTCCCTACCGCCCACGACTTGCACCACTTCTCCGACCATGGGCTGGTTGGGAACGGGTGGCCTTCTTTCTCCTCTTCGGCAATCGCGGCTTTTCATGCAAGGCTAATCAGGATGCCTATGTCGACTTTCGGTTTCTTTCTCGGCTAGAAACTTCGTGGGGGTTCAGATATATATATATATATATATATATAGACTCAAGTTTCGTCTCCTCGCGAGATATATTTAGTTGTTTGAATTCACATCGAAGATTTCAGATCTGGGATGGTTCTCTTTTCACATACTAACCGAGTGTTCAAAACACCTACTTTCACCTCTAAAACCTTTTATAAAGCATAAATATTTATATGCAGCAACATCTACAAATTTTAAATGATGAGATTCCATCTCCAAAATTTATTCCCACCAACCAAATGGGAAAAATGAAGAACAATAAAAGCATCTCACGAATATATCAAAAAGCCATCAATGATTATCAATGAACAACTTTTATAGTTTATTAAGAAGGAATAAACCAAAAAATAAAATAAATAAAAAAATTATTATAACCTTGAGTTGAGTTGAGTTGAGCCAACATGAAGCTAGCCACCAAAATATGCCGAACTAGACTTTACTAATTATTTGCCTCTAAATCACCTCAATTCTCTAATGAGAATTGATATCCCCATAATCACATCACTAATTAATTAATTAATATCCCCATAATCACATAAACCCCATGACAATGGAACTCCTATCCTATCCATGCCCATCATCACATGATGGAGCAAAGCTGATTTTCTTCATCACTATATTCACTCTCACATTTGTTCCCATTGGCAGCCCGACCCGACCCGTACCCGTACCCGTACCCGTACCCGCACTCGTAGCCCTTCATATGCCCGTAATCGTAGAAACCTTCATGGTATATCGGTTGGGCCGGGCCCGTAAATCCATATGGGCCCGCATAGCTCGGCCCGACATAAGGGAAAACCGACGGGACCCCCTGCACCGGGCCCGGCTCAGGCCCCCTCATTTGCTCAATGGGCCCGAGGATTTTGGTGGGCTCGGGCTTTGGAGCTTCCTTGGGCTTGTCGGGCTTACCATTGGGCTTGGACTTCTCCGTGTCGTTGGGCTTTCCAGCATCTTTGGGCTTTTCGCCGTTCTTGGGCTTTCCGGCATCTTTGGGCTTCTCGCCGTTCTTGGGCTTATTTCCGGCATGATTGGGCTGCTCGACTATGAGTACCTTGGGCTTCTCGGGCCCATTGGGCTTCTCTTTTTCTTTGGGCTTCTCAGCTGCTTCCTTGGGCTTATCGGGCCCATTGGGCTTGCCCGACTCTACGATTGTGATGCTCTTGATGGCCTTTCCACCTTTGCAACACAATTTGTCCCGGATTTTTTCCGGGCTGCAGCACAAGACCTTGATTGTAACCGTGTTGGCCTTCTCGTCATAGATTTGGTCTCTAACTTCTATTTTTCCACATATTTTTGCACCAATTCACAAATTTATAATTAGTTCCCATTATTTAGAATTAATTATTTAAATAATAAGAATATTATTAAAGTAACACATATAAATAAAACTTCACCAAAAGAAAAGTTGTTTGATCTCCATTACAACATGAGTTGGATATAAAGAGAAAAGATGATAAAGCAAAAAAAAAAAGAGTCAAAAAGGACTTTATCCCATTATCGTCATCAAGAAACAAAGAATTTACTTGAGGAGAATAATTTAAATATGGAATGTACTTCTTTTTTGACATTTTTATGAAAAGAAATTCTGTTAACATTCTCGCTCTCGTGATAATTTACCAATTTTTTTTTTTTAATTTCAGTTCTCCAGTTCCAAAATTGTATTCCAATTTTTATTTGGTTCAATTGGATGAATGATGTAGATATATAGGATTATTTGCATGGAACAATATTACAACATAGTTAAAATAGATATATATAGACCAAATATTAAAAAGAATATATATATATAGATAGATAGATATATGAAAATTAGACTCACGGGGAAATTTGCAGAGAGCTTTCTTGGTGTCTTTGTAACACATGGGACATTGGAGATCAACCTTTAGGACCATTGTAGTCACCTAATTCACAGAATATGATCACACATTACACAATAATTCTCCAATATAAATTTCTCAAGACATTGAAAAAAAAGGGACAAAAATTGAGCAAAATTAAGATTGTTTATTCGTCAAGAAACATACTTTACATAATTCTTGGTAAATTATTGTTTTTTTTTTAAAAAAAGGCCCATTTGAATTAAAGTTTGAAAAAATAGTTCATGGATTTTTTTTTTTCACATACCTTCTCAGCAGCCATGACTAAGACAGTTCTTGGTGCTGGTTGATAGATCTAAACGAAATTGAGAGATACTCTTAGAGAGAGAGAGAAGTTTAGAGAGAGAGAGAGTGAAAAAAAAGGTTGATAAACTGATGATCAAAACTCCTCTTTCTAACATTTAGAGAGAGAAAGAGAGAAGAGAGAAAGAGGGCTTTGAGGGGCCCTATTGACTCTTTACTCTCTGCATGTGCTGGGTTTGATGGCACAACGCACCCTTTCATATATGTACAACTGTACATGGTAATGTAGTAATATTATAGTTTGGTTATAAATAAGTATAGTTTGGAAATTTCAAGAAAAAATCATATCTCTACCTAATCTTGGAAATTATTGTGTTGATTTTTTAGTAATAATTCATTTGTATGTTAATTATTTTGTTTATTTTGTAATTATTAGTTACTTTTTTCCATAAATAAAGTGTTTTAATAACATTATCTCTCTCCATAAATATTAATACAGTATTTTTCAAGCTTTTGTGTCAATCTATGATGTTTCGTGATTTTATTTGTCGAATTCGGTTTATGCTTAATAAGACCTTTAGAATTGTGAAACAATTGGTTAAATACATTTTAAAAATTAATAATTATTGTATTTATCAACATATTTTCATATATGATAAATTATCAAATTAAACACCCATTGATGGGCTTTGATGTGACATTCGTATTGTATTTATAAAATAAATAAATATATTTATTCTTACAAAAAAAATAAATTATTAATTAATGGTTTACAAATAATAGAACTAGCTATCAATTAAATAATTAAAAATATCTTTATAGCACTTGTGTGATATATATACGCAGGGATGTAAATGGGTCAGATCGGGGGTGGGCTTTGGCAAACCAAACCCGACCCGCATATAATTTACCCTATCCAAACCGACCTATTACCCGGTTAGTGAACTTCAGGTTTGGGTCTGGTTTTATCCAACGGTTTATCGGGTCTTCTTCGGGTAAATTGGTAACTCAAATTCTTAAATTTGGGTTTACCCAGTCCCAAAATCTAAATGAACTTGTTAAAAATACTAATTGAACTGCATTGCAGTGTAGGAAAAAAAAAATAAAAAATAAAATAAAAAATAAAAAATAAAAAATTGAGAATTTTCAACACTAACAAATCTGAACTATACAAAATTGCACGATTTTGCTCTTTCGAGAATGCAGTGCTGGTAGCATCACTGAGCCTCGTTTGTTTACAATATTGGGCCTTGATTTGGTGAAAAAGTGAACCAAGACCAACCAAAGCAGCCCAACGAAATGTTCAAGGTCGGTGGGCCAACACTTACATCTAATTGCTATTTTATTTGAGGAAATTACTCAAAGGACGACAATGCAACTATTTATTTGCACTCTTACGGTTAAATAATAACCTTAAGCAAAATTACAAAATCATGTAATTTTATTTGCACTCATACGACACATTCAGTTCAGACAATATAAATACAATATCTTCAATTAAGATAGATTTATTAGGAGCAGTTACCAAATAAAATCAAAACCAATTCCCCCTTTCACGCCTTATTACTGCGACCAAACTGACCACCCCTCAACTCAATTTCCTCATCAGTAAACTCTATGTCATTTTTTCTGGTCAAGATCGAAATCCCGCTCATAGTCGGTGAAACCTCCAATCGCGATGCCGGTGTTGATGCATAGGAGGTCGAGTTCTCGTGTCAGAAAAATATTAGCCAAAGATAAAAGTAAAGTTATTTAGAAAAAAGCTCGATTTCGAGAGAAACATGAAGCCAACTCGTAAGACGCTCGACAAATCTCGACATATTACGCAGAGCTCCAACCCCAATTCCAACGACTTTCGGTCGGACCATGGCTAATTTCAACCCAAAGATTCCCAGAGATCTCTAATGCGGCTGAAGGAGAAGAAGCGTGGGATCCAGATTATCATGGCGAAGATTAGTAGATGATTCGGAAGGAATTTTTTTGAGCGATGATATATGTCTAGTTTAGTTTATATATATGCTGGGTATATGTACAATTCTACACAGTTAAGTGAGTATTTTTTTAAGTCCCAGTACATATGTCTAGTTTATTTTATGATAATGTTCAGTATACTAGTACAAATACATGTAAGGGCCGTTTATAACATATGTAGTTTTTGTATAATTTTACCAACAAAATTCAATAGCAGGTTGATGTGTAAAATGTTTTGCCACATGAAGTCTGTTTTGCTTTATAACATGATTATTACATCACTTCAATCACATAAACATTTTTAGTTTATTTCAATTTGTTATCATGTATACTAAGATAACAACATTATATATATATATATATATAACAGAATTTGCCTTATTCATGTCTACAACTGATCATCTTCATTTTTTTTTATTTTTTATTTTTTTTTTTGCGGTTTTGTATATGACTCGATATATGTTCTGTTCAAATTGTGTTTATGTTTGGTGTATCTGTACTAACAGAGATATACAATATTTTTCTTTTATTTAGTCTAAAATTCCTTATATGCTTAGTTTATTGCTTGTTTATGGGTAGTATATATGTATTATCAGATCTAATAATATTGTTTCTGTTTACCATAAGACTCATCATAAACTTAGTTTATTGTTTGTTTATGTTTGGTTTATCTATGATAACATATGTATATATATTTGGTTTATGTTTGTTATATTAACGTTATGAAGTTGTATTGCTTTTGAAGTTTCAAATTTGAAATATGATTCCATTCTAAATACATGTTAGTTTGTTACGCGACATTCTGAAGTGTATTAGTTGTTTCCAAATTTTTTATTTTTTATTTTTTATAAACATGAGTTACGCAAAAAAAGGGAACTGATCGAATCCATTTTATTTTGGTAACAGAAAATCTCGCATAAAGGTAACTAACTCACACTGATTTCGTTCGTTCAGTTGCTAAACTTTTTCACTTACTCGTACATCTGCAATTAAGTATATATCGGATAGGAGATATGTAAATAGGCCTTTATTAAATGGTCTAGCAGAGTCAATTCATTTATTAAATGAACACAATCTTGAATATGAGGTATTTGACTTGACTCAATTCGAATGATATCTCTAGAGGACTATATAATATTTAACAACTGATCTCATTTATTTTAATATATTTTCTATAGTTTAAAAAAATATGCGGAGATCTATATCTATATAAAGAGGTTGTTGGAAAAATAAATTAATAGAAAGTTTGACCAAATAAATATAATGTTTGACTTACTATTAATGGAAAGTTCGAAAAAACACAAGTAAATCTTTAAAAACAAAATCTGAATCCGATTTTTTCGGTAACAAATTTGGAGATTCTTATGGCAAAATTTGAATCCCATTTTTTTCGTATCATATTTTATTTTTTTACCAAAATTTAAATCATATCTTTTTTGGTAACAAATTTAGAGATTCTTATGCAAAAAATGTGTCAATTATTTATGAAATCAATTCTAAATACAAATCAATTTAAAAACTGTGCAAATTGGATACAAATTTACGAAACAAATAGTTGTATAATTTCTAACCAATTCTTCCAATCTTAATGAATAATTTTTTCTTTCAAAAAAAGTGTGTAAATTGGCTAAAACCACGTGTAATTTTTATTTTGAAATAAAAGTAATATTTGAACGGGATGTACATTCAAAATTGTGCCCATATTTTTTTGTAACAAAAGCGGTTCATATTTTAAAGTAATTAATTGCCCACCATATTTAGAAAGTTTTAGATATTTTAAATTATAAAATAGGGTAGCATTAAATGCCCCTAAATTTATGGGTTTTGTTGAATTCATTTTTGAAAATTTCGACAGATATTAAAGTGAATATGAAATTCAAAATCTCTTCTCATATTATTTTTAATAAAATCTGCATCCAAATTTACGTGTGGTTTTGAAGTAAAAATTTGAAATTCAAAATCTCTTCTCATTTTAGTTACAAGAAAATCGAATTGCATTCAACACTTGGATCAATTTAAAAATTATTCCTTAAATGAAGAAATTTATAGATAATTGTTATCTCTACTGAATCACATGATTATTTTCAATATAAAAAGAGACAGATTACAAATTAGTGAATTATATATTATCTAATTTAATATCTTAACGTTAAGGAATAAATCCATAGTATTATGCAAATCCGTATCTCATATTATTATATCATTAAGAATATATTATAGTTTTATTATCAAATCTTTTAAAGGTATTAAATCCATATTGTAAAAAAAAATAATTCATATAATTTTATAACAATTCTACTGCACTATTTAATAATATTCATTTTTATTATATAATAAAATAATAATTAAATATTATATACTGAACAACAATAAGTAAAATTGTTACTTTCTCTTATATCAAGGGACAAATTTATATGCTAAAATTAAATTTTTATTAGTATAAATATTTTAGTGAGATAATATATTAATTACAAGCTGGCCTTAACATGCTCATATATAATGTTCTTGCTAAAAAAAACAACGTTGGTTAATAGATGTGGAAAAAAAACTTATAATAACTATTGTTTTTTAGACTTAACGTTGATTAAAAGAGGTAGAAAATAGATAATAACCCTAGTATTTTTTAGACTTAAACGGACAAGGGTGTGAAAATAACTCATTTAATATCTTTGTCCCGTGCATCGCACGGGGTACGTACTAGTTAAGTATAAACATAAATGAGTATAAACAAAATTCTACAGACTTATGTCTCCGCTTAACCAGATATACAGAAGCTTGAATGTTATTATGATATTAAAATAAAATATATAAGAAAATATCATATTTGAAATAATAAAATTATTAACTATAATTCATAAAAATATGTGTCATTATAAATAGTAAATACTTTATTATTTATTTGTTACAAAATTTGAGGCGGATATATTTCTGGAAGCAGAGCAGCGCGATTTTAAATGATATTTGCTGAGAGATTGTGAGTAGTCATGATCATTCGCAGTGTGTTTTAGTTCTTTTATTTCTTTTTTTTTTTTTCGTTTAGTGTTTTTG